GTTAAATATTACAAGTGTATTGTCGAGCTGCAGGTGAGACAAAACACCAGTAATTTTCAAGCACATCTTGGCAACGCGTGTTGTATCTGGCTTAAACCACGGCCTCTGACTGGCTACTACACTAGTGAGTAACGGGAGTGCAACCGTGGAACGCATTTGTATATGATGTGATGGTATGTCAAGTACAGCACAGCCGAGACTTGTTCTACAGACTAACTGTGGTTTAATGGTTTTAATTAGACATTTTCAAACAAAAAATTGAAAAGTGGTTCCCTATAAAATGACTGTGCTTAAATTCCGTCCATAACATCAAACTAACAAACTGAACCAAAAACACGACCCTCTTGCCAGAGGTAAAAAAAAAAAAAGCATTAAAAGTTGCTGTATTGAAGTGAATATGAGGAAATGCAAAACCAACTGCAATTTTGGACCTTGTCATGAATGTCCATTGATGAAGAATGGGAACGTTTTTTTTACTCTGGAACGTGTCAAGAACGCAAGTGTGCTCTCACAATTTTTATTGGACATATTCAAACTAAAATATTTGAAAGTGGCAACCTTAAAAAATGACAATACTTAAGTGGAGTTTATTATTGAAATGAATTACTTGCGTCTGGAAATTGTAGCTTACAAGTAGAAGAAAACCACTTTATAACATGACAACAAAAGTTATCTGTACTGTTAAAAGATCTATTATAACAGCATTACAAAACCATTCATCTTTTTCCAAAAGGCATACAATTATAAATGCTACATAGCAATCTACAAATAAACATAAAAAGCCAAGCGTCTTTAGCCCACTTTGCTACAATATAAATGGGACTTCTTGGAACTAAAATTGGCTATATCGTTGGACTCGAGTTTCTGTTGCATGAGGTTTCAATGAATTAACAATGTTAAATAAGTAGTTATTTAACCAATCACCTAGTGACTCTATCTGGACTAAAACCCACACAGATTCAACTATTTGTGAAAACATTTTCATTCATAATAAAATGCACATGCTTTGTGCCCAAAATACCCACAAGCTCTCCCTGTGTAATGTGTTCTTAAAAGTAGAACTACCGTGCCACATCTGCCATTAAGCAGAAGGTATTTAACTTCCAATACAGTTATAATACATAATATATAGGGTCCAATTACATCTGTAATATTCAGAACTATCATTTCCAAATAAATCTGGTCTCTTGACAATTAACCAAGGGCACATCCCTTTCACTTTTTTCAGTACAATCCATACAGTCACCTTTCATCCATACTGTTCACATTCAAAATTATAATGTACATGGCATCAATATTTTTGTTTACAGTCTTCCTATCCATCTATTAAACATAATTGCCTTCCATTAATTTATAATATAACAAAGTTTAATGAATGATGAAGTATTTAGGAAAGATGATAAAAGGCAATAATATTCTACTGCCAAGTATTTAGGAAAGATGATAAAAGGCAATAATATTCTACTGCCTTTGAGATTATCTACAATATAATACACAAGCAGTTCCATTAAAAAGCACCAGGCTTCAATAATGGTGAGTCCCAGATGGCAGAACTAGTCCTTTTGTTGAACCTCTGTTTCTTCTTAGCAAACATTGCATTTAGATCTGGAGGTTCAATGACAGGAAACATATCTTCCATGTTTGGTGGATGATAGTGCTGATTTATCAGAGCAGCTTTCAGGGGAGCCCCTGCATAAAAAAAAAAAAAAAAAATTAGAGAAACAATATTCTCAGAATTCCAAGTCTTGTCATTAAAATAATCATTAATCATTATTTCTATTTGTTTCTTTTTCATTGTTGTTATTATTATTATTATTATTATTATTATTATTATTATTATTATTATATGTAGTTATTTTTTCTTTTGTTAAAAATATTTCAAACCAAAGATACCACCATCAGAATAAGGCAGGGGAACAATTACAAGCATTTTGCTTTTTCATTCCAAAGATCTGTATAAGTCTACATGTTTCTGCTTGTGCACTACTTTTAATACCATACCCTGTGCCCAAGCAGGAATTCTTTTCCTTGGTTGATCTTCATCGTCAGTAGATTCATCTGACTTCAGATCATTGATGTCATAATTATCAGGATCGGGTAACTTGTAGGGCCTCTTGGCTGGTGGAGGAGTCATGTCATAGCTGGAAGATGCCAAGTATTATGCTATATAAACAAAGCCACTGTTACTGTAGTCAAAAACAAGAATAAAAGGACACAAGCCCCTGAAATTGCTTTTCACAGACAATTGCTTTGGCTTAAAAACTTAAAGATAACCACATTAACAAAGACAAATAAAAACTTACGACTCCAAAGTTGTATTCAGTTTGGATTTCATTGGTGCATTTTGATGGGGTTGGTTATGTCTGGAATGTTCCTGTTTTGCTCGTTTTTCTTCATCTTTCTTGGAAGCTTCTTTTAGTCGTTGTTTTTCCTATACACAGAATTTTCCAGAATTGAGTTTAAAGTAATCACACTTTATTCATTTTAAAGTATTCAATGAGAATTTTTCAATACAAATATCCAACAGCTTTGGGCCATCTTTTGTGTGAGAAGGTATAGTAATAACAGGATCTATAGAGGATGTTAACGTTTTTAACTGATCATGAATCCCAGCTTGTGTTAACACCAGACTACAGATCCCACTGTTACTATTATAATCACTTACATTAATTATTACATTCCTTGCTGTTTCTCTGTTAATTAACAAAATCAACACTACTTCAAAACTTACTGCTTGGCAGTCAACCATGTTGTCATCTGCTTAAAATGTGGCACCATTGTTGTTATACTCATAAATGCACAGGAAAATATTTTTCTTATGTCATCCATCAAAAACATGACATATCTACAAATAACTTTCAAAGAATTGCCAAAATACATAGCACACCTTTGTCAGGCAAAATATTTAAATAGTAGAATATTGCATACCATTTCTTTTTCCTGTTCCAATCTTTCTTTCTCAAGTTTTTCTTTTTCCTTGATTTTTTCAAATTCAGCCTTTTCCCTTTCAGCCTTTTCTCTCGCTAGCTCTTTTTCCCTTGAAAAAAAAACCCATAATCATATAAAAATAATATTCCAGTAACTAATAACCATTACCTTATAAATACTACTAGTAAACTCCAACTCAAAGATGACTTCAGCCAAGTAATAATTATTTAATAATTTCAAAATATTTGCCTTTGACCTTTTGGAAAGAAAAACATACTTCAGTTATTATAATTGCCTAAATTCATTCATTGTCTCATTTTACAAAAAGTTCAATTTTCAATACAAGGCATAATACACATTTAATCCATGTAATTTTGGAAATTGTCATCTTTTTTTAATTAATTGTTTTTCTTTGAATAAACAGAGAAACATTTATTGATCATACCATATACTTCATTCATGCATTAATAACAATAAAGCAGTACCTTTCTTCTCTCTGCCTTTCTCTGAGCTTGTCGTCTTCCTCTTTCTTCAACCTTAGTCTTTCTACTTCTTCCTGCCTCTGCTTTTCAATCTCAGCTAAACGTTCTTCTTGTTGCTTTTTACTTTCAGCAATTTTTCTTTGTCTCTCTTCTTCCTCATACTGTTTCTTGCGCTCTAGCATTTTGTCATGCCTCTTAGCTTCTTCTTCCTGTTCTTGTAGTTTCTGAAGTCTAGCTGCTTCTTCTTGTTTTCTTCTTTCCTCTGCTTCTTGTAATTTTTTTTGCCTAAAATTAAATTTCACTAATCTCAACTAAGAGAACATATGCAAGCCTTAAATGCCATGAAAAAGGCCAAGTATGCAATCAGTTCTTGGGGGAATCTTTGTAATTTCAATAAACTGGTTAGTTCAACTTCATTACATGAAATAAGGTAAAATGCAGCAAATCACCTATCAATTATCAGTTTGATAATATAATGCAATGTAATGCATAATAATATTAATATCTGAATAACCTCTCTCGTATTTTTTCTTTTGTTTCTCTGACTGCCTTATCTCTGACTTCATCACCAAGTTGTTGCCTCTCATGCAACTTTAATTCCAATCTCCTCTTCAACTCCATTTCTTTCTTCTCCTTCTCCTCTTTTATGGCTTGCACTTTTTTCATTCTTTCCTCTCTTTTTCTACAATTAATACAGTAATTTCACGGTCAAGTCACAATTTATATTTTCTGCTCAAATATATAAAAAACATTTTTTAAAATTATATTATCAATTTTCACTAATCCCTTATGCCAATTTACCTCACCTTTTTTGCTCTTCAACTTTTTGATTGATCCTTTCATCCCTTTTCTTCAATCTATCCTTGTCCTTTTGCCTTTTCATTTCCAATTCAGCTTTCTTTTTTTCAGCTATCTCCTGGATAATTATCAATAATGAAACCCCAAATCTGATAATTATTTTCATTATCAATCTACGATATGAAACAGTACTAACTTTTATTAAGTTATCTGTCAGAAAGATATTAGAAAAACATAGTTGAGTCATACTGATATTACCTTCTCTGATGGACTGGCATCATTAACAAAAATTAACAATAACCACAGGGATTTAGACAATTTGTTCCATTGAAAAGCTGCAAATTTACCTCTATTTTTTTTTAATAGATCTGCAAAAAATCTTAAGAATTATCTTCCAACCTTTAAAAAAAAGCATCTAAAAACCAAACCTCTTCTTTCATTGCATCACCTGAACAAACTCTATTATCATCTTTTAGCACCATTTCAAGTGCACCTGTTCACAAATTTTGCTTTTTTTTTAATAAAAAATTTTGCTATAAATAAATAAATAAATAAACATTTAAATAAATAAATAAATAAATAAATAAATAAATAAATAAATAAATAAATAAATAAATAAATAAAATGCCCACTATATATTTTATGTCTTGTGTGTAATGATGTATAATTAAAGTTCAATCTCTTGGTAACATATGTTGGTAACACAATATTAGTGAAGCATATTAATGTGCACACTACCCTTTAACATTTTTGAGCTCCCACCTTTGATGTCATTTTCTTGGGGGTGTTTCTTTGTATGAAAGAAGTAACCACACTGCCTCTGCTATTCAATGCCTCTTTCTTCTGGTTCAATGCATTAAGAAAAGATGCTGGATGAGGTCTTATAACCTAAAAATGTGTTATATCATCATCAAGCCAGTTGAAAATGAGTTATACATTTTATGAGCCTACTGCCCCCAACTTGGGGTTAATATACCTACTTGTGTGAAAATGTATACATTGTTGGTAAAATTGTAGTTTAATGTATGTATAACATGTATATATCCTTAAACTATATTTGACACTGGCAGCATAAAAAATATGTAGCTAAGATCCGTACCTTATTTCTGGGACATTCTGGAGAAGGTGTCTTCTCAACTATGTCACTGTTATTAGCACTGCTAGGCCTATAGTACGAGGTAATAACAGAAAAAAACTATTGTGTAACAAACTCTAAATCAATCAATAACAATACATTTTAAACTAGGATGGGATTGTATATATATGAGGGGTATTTTTTACATCAACTGAATTAGTAAAAATTAAGAAAATTTTATCCTTGGATTTTACTGTTACTAATGACAACGGATTTAACAAAAGGTAGTGTTCTATACAAATCTATATACATACGTATGGAAGTCAGAATCGCTCCCAGGTGTTTTGCAAGGGGTCTCGCTTTGAACCATTGCTGCAAATATAACCAAAAATGATCATTTAAATATCGTTTTACCAAACCATGTAACAATAGTATAAACATGAAGTCCAGTTGGGAAACAGAAAAAACCAAGTGGACAGTCACCATCAACATCAGTTACAATTTGAAATGAAAAGCAGACTCTACAATGAAATATGTCACACAAACTATAAACAAAATGGCACTTACCTTTATCAGTGTCCTCTTCTGTTCTGGCTCTAGCTTCTTCATCTGAACTCTGGTGTGAAAAGTGTATATTTAATATTAATTAAATTTAGCAAGTAGTCTTTGTTGCTTCCACAGCAAGCAAAATCCTTTTTAACTGTAGATTACATGGTAGGATTTTACAAATTGAGTTACCATCAAATGTTGTACGGTTTTTCTTTTTAAATACATTAGAGAAAATACAAGAAATAATGCACCCTTGGTTTGGTACGGAAAACAAAGACCAGTTTGCTTAATATGTTAGCAATATTTTTAATGACAGTGAAGGAGATCACTGCATACCATTGCTTCTCTTGTCATCTTCTTTGCCTCGGGTGGGTTGACGGCATCAGAGTCTTCAGAACCAGAGGCCGGGGGTCTTTTGCGCATCTTACTTCTACAGAATAATAGAAAATCATGAAGCAAATGTTACACAAAGTGTTACATATTTGCTAAAGCTCCACAATGACACGTGGTTCAAGTTTTGATGACAAACAGTGTTACACATTTGCTAAAACTACACAAATTTTACTGGCTTTAAGTTTTGACAAAAAAAAAAAAAAAAAAAAAAAAGATTAAGAGACTTTTTTGTGCAAGTCATGTAAAAGATGCTTCAAATTAATCCAAACACACACCTAGTGAACCTTCCAGCATTCTCAGTCAGTGAGGAAGGAGCTTGTGGGTTGGTTGGAGTATTTTCACAGTCAGCATCACTTACACACACCACTTGAGGTACAGGTTTGTTCTGTCTCATTTTGGACCTTGTCGTCCTCTGAGGTGGAATTGCGTCCTCATTGTGGGCTGCCTCTTCATCTGAAGACTCAGGCTGCTTTCGCTGTGCCTGTGTGCTGAGTCGTGTTCTTAGTGTCTTGGTACGTGTGGTACGTCGTGGTTGCTCGAGCTGTGCAACTGGAGTGGCCTCATCATCAGATGCATCATAGTCAGTGTTGGACACCACTGTGGGTGTTTTTGACTGCTCAGACCCTGGAGTGTTTGGTTTGACCTGTTGGACCTCTGGTGGGCTAGAAGAATCAGACTGTGTTGTTCTCCCACTTTCTGATTCCTCACTTTTGCTGGTGGCAGGTACAATAGATGATTCACTATTTACTGCTGGTTTTGCAATGTGTAATTGTTGATGTAGCTGCCTCTGTTTTGTTCTGGTTGATCGCCTTACTTCTCCTTCTGAATCTGATGTTGCTGGACTGCTTCTTTGAACAATATGTTGAACTCGGTCAATAGGCCTGTTATTCGACAGATGTCTAACTCTGTCAGCAGGGCTGTCCTTGGTAGATGAATACCTAGCTTTAGGAGCTGGGGCAGTTGGAACTTGAAACACTGCATCCTTTGATGGGGTACCATTGCTCTCTGTATCTGAACTAGAACACTTAGTTTGATGACGGGATAGCACTTTGGTTCTGGTACTCCTCACAGGGTTCTGAAAAATAATCTCTCATCAACATTTGCTGTCACTATACTTCCACAACCTCCCTTCCAATTCTGACCTGCTTTAATCCCACTTTATTTCACTATAAAATTAATGCTCAATTTATAAATTATTCAACTGTTATAAATGTAAGACAGAAAAGAAACCCAAAGCCAACCTGATTTTTGTCTGGAGTACTGGCGAGTGAAGTGGCATCTTTCTTTATAGGCTTTTTCAGCCTTAGTTTTGAACGTGTAACCTTTCTGTCTGAACCTGGTGTTGCTGCACTGGGTGAACTCTAAAAGTTGATCCAAACAAATTAGACATCTCAAAACTTAATCAAGTCATACTTTTTAACATCAGATCTATCTTATACAAGTAAAAGAAAGGGGTGACAGAAATTAAAATGACCAAACATTCAACATGCTCCTACCTTAGCTGTGGTAACTTGATGTGGGATATTTTCATTCTTAGCTACCATATCTTCTAGATCACTCTCTGTTACAAGTGCATCATCAGAGTCATTATCTTCTTCCTTGTGGATATGTTTCCTTATTGTCTTGGTGCGAGTGGACCTCTGAGTTGAAGAAGATACTCTGGAAGACTTGGATCGTCGGGGACCAGGTTTCCCTGTCAGGGATGTTCTATGCAACCCTGATTTCACTCCTAATACAGTAATACTACTTCTCCTGTTCTTCAAAAGAACCTCATTTTCTTTTTTCGTATCTTCAACAACAGCTAAATTGGCAACACAAACAGCTTCTTTTTGAATATCACCACTAACAGGAACCATTTTTTCTGGCACTTCAATAGTAGTTTCCATTTTCTCTTCCCCCTGGATGTTTGAAGTATCCTTCACAGCTTCATCAGAAGTACGACCTATTCTGGACTTCACCTTGACAAGTGTTTTTGTAACCACTGTTGGTGGTGTTTGAGGGGTGTCTGCTGATCCTTTCGACACTGGTGTCTTCATGTTGTCAGAAGATTTCTGAGGATCATTAACAGGTGTTGCCGATTGTTTTGGACTGCCACGCCCTGGACGCATGAACTCCTCAAGAGCATGGATTTTCTCCTTGACTTTCATGGCAACAAAATCCTTGATAAACTTTGGACTTTGAAATGAATTCGCTGCTTGGGTGTTGATTTTGATTGGTGAAACATGTTTGAGTGCATTCTTGGCTTTTAATTCTGTAACTTCAAGCTTGTCCTCTGGTTCACCAGGTCCAACTTCAGCATTCTCTTTGTCATTGATTGGAGTTTTTATGTCATCAGTAGGTTCTACTGCCTTTACACTGTCAATCATATTCATAATGGGGGATGGAGCAACAACCTCCTGAACTTTGTCTTTATTGGACCTTGTATTTCGACTGTTTCTTGTTGTACGCCCTGTGGTATTTGCTGACCGTGTGTTTGGCCTTACATGCCTCTTAGGAGGAGTTTCTTCTTCAACAACTGGAGATCCTTCTTTGGGCTCCATATCAATGCTTTCAGATGTGCTGGACTCAACAGATTCAACTGACTCCTTTCTCGTCTTCTTTCTTTTACCTGTTGCACGACTAAAAAGGCCAATAATAAAATCTTGAATCATACATGTAAAAAATGTTCACAATTTTGATAACCTCACTGCCAAATGCACTAAATTAAGACTTAAAAAGCCAGGAAATGTTAAGCTCTTTGGAAAACCATACCTGGCCTTTTTTGCTGGTGGCTTGCAGTTGTCATCACTTTCAGATAAATCATCTTTCTTTCTTCTACGACCACGTTTAGCAGATGGGGTTTTCGGCAACAGTTCTACCTCTGGGCTACAAAATGGTAAGAGAATTCTACTTTGAGTAATTGAGAGGGTAAACGGTGCTGTAATGAGCAGCAACTCGACCTGAGGCTGACTGACCAGCAAAAGGAAATAAGTTATCCAGATATAACATGCATCACTATCGGAGTTGGAACTACCAATATTTATTTCCTGGTACAGACAAAGACAAATTATTCAATCATGACAAAAAAGATCATTGATGCATATACCTTGACACATCTGTTCATGAAAATGAAATTTAAATGACATTTAAAAGTGTGAAACTGCCACTTTAAACACTTAACTTTCTCCATCACTACAGTGCATGAACTATGTACAAGTCTGGCAAATCTAAGTTGCAAGTGATGCATGTGCAAGCCAATTATTAAGTTGACAAGGGTGTGTTTTGTATGACTGTAATGTGAAGTCAACTATTTTCTTGTCGTTTAACAAATTTTTCACCTTCAAATTTGTTATGTGCTACCTTAGTGTTACCTTTTAAATGCTTTCTTTGCTTCTATTAATATCTCTTCCAGCCAGGTGAAGTGATCTTCTGCATTATTTGCAAATTGCCTGATAAGTTGTGTTGCAGTGAGATGAAAATTAAATCCATCTCCAGATCTTCCTGCACTAGCTGCCATTATGGAGACCATGTTTGGTTATAGTTCCAACTGCTAGTAGGTTTCCTAAAGCCTCCTGCGAAATGCACATATTATTATTATTATTATTAGTTAATATTTATACTACTTCGTGGTATAAAATGTTAATGTTCAAGTACTGCCCGTGAATATAGAAGTGATAAAATTAAGTGAAGCATATCTGTAGTCAATCAAAATATCACTTTTACTCATGTTATGTTCTACACAGCACTGCTGCAATGCCAATGTTTCACTCATAAGCCTTAAACTTAGTTAAATGGTGTACTAATATCAGCTTTATCATTTAGAAGTAACAATCGATATGTTCATTTGAAAACTGAGCCCAGCTAGCGATTCTTGCGCTACATGAAAAGATTACGTTGCCATGTTTAATAAACATATTATTTGAACTTTAATTTTAATTGAATTATATAAAAGTTTAACATTAGTATGTAACAAATTCTATAAAGTAAGATATCGACGGACAAGTTTACTCACCTTGACAAAATACCTTCCCAATATTTTCAAATTTCGTGTTGAATAATTCAGCCAATAAAAAGGGGAGAAGACGGTGACGTCAGAAGCAAAGCGAAATGATTTTTCGTTTCGATCATAAGAATCAATCTTACAAACTAAAATTAACTGCATTTCTTTATGTTTGGATGAAAGCACTTAAACGTTTTTCTTTTAAAACTAAGCATTGGATTTACAAAATGTGTATGACAAATGGGTCGAAACTATATTGTCCAATGCAAGAGGCCCGGCAACTGGATGATGAAGCAACTTCCGCCATTTTCGAGAGAAGTTGCTGTACACTCCCATCCGTTCAAAGATTCGCGAAGCAGGAAAGCCATCCGTCATGTATAGAAATCATGATAGTAACAACTACAGTCAGAGCTACAAGTTAGTTGTTGTTGGTGGAGGTGGAGTTGGAAAAAGTGCCTTAACTATACAGTTTATCCAGGTAAATACTTATAATTCGGCGCACTGTTGCTGTCAGTTGTTATTGTAAGTTTCAGTTGTTAGGTTTTAGTTTTAGGGCAATATGAATGAATGTAGTGGTGCTAACTGGAAGCAGCAGCTTGAAAGAAGATGTACATTTAAAATAAAATAATGTCGCACACGAGAGAGATTTTATTAATGGTTATATTTTAGAATAAGAAAAAAAAATACTGTCTAGACTAGAATAGATATACAGTGTATATCATCTCTTTCAAGCCTAAAGTAAGATATCACAGATAGCAGCAATTAAGTGTCGTGCCCACTGCCCAGTCATTTATACATGGAATCCATTAAACTGTTTTCTTGAAGAAGAAAATATTCTTTCATAAACACCTAATAAACACCCAATGTAACACCTAAACCCAATATATAGAGGTGCAAATAAAATTGAATGAATTTAAAGTTGTATTTATATTTTAAAACATATATGTGCATAGAACAAATATTCCATGGCTGTCTCAATTTTACATCTACATAAAAGTTTTGCCATTTCTGTACATTATGTAAGGAGCCTCAATGGTAACATACTAGTATGTTCTGGTAATGTATTTTAATTTTTATGTTGCATTTTAATATATTTTGTAGTTATTCAGCCATGGTAAATTATATGATGTAAAGATGTTTTTATAATTATTTACACTGTAACTCAAGGAGCTTTGCATCATGGCTAATACTACGTAACGTATGTTCCCCAGAAAATTGTCAGAAAGTTTCATCTTGCCCAATATGATATGATATTCTGACACAATATTTGGACACTAATGGAAAATAGTTTATTTAATGCTTATTTAACTGTCAGTAGGGTGTAGTTTGACATTTCTGACACAATATTTGGACCACCAATGGAAAATAGTTTTATTTAATGCTTATTTTACTGCCAGTAGGGTGTATTTCCCCCTTTTTTAAATATTCAGTGACAAGCAATCTGAAGTCACTCAAAAAATTAACTGTTCTTTAGTATACAGAAAATTATCATAACGTTGTACAACATTATCCTTGTAGGAGATAAATTTAAGAACAAAACCAGTGACGATTGAATTTTTCAAAGTGAGTAAAATGTTTCCACAGCTGGATGTTTTGCATTTGTGAATGTAATGTATGTTCCTTTTTGGGATAAGATGACAAATTATTATTTATTACTAATGGTTCCAGGAGAGTGAAACTATGATACAAACTTCTTCGTGTTGGACCCTAAAATGACCAAACATACTTTGTAATCTGTGCACTAAATATTTTGAAGAACATGCCTGTGACCTCATTTGCACCTCTTTATTGGATTTGGGTGGTAAATGTAACATTTGTTATTGTCTGGCTCAATTTGAGGTTTCTCCAAAGTTATCAAAGATTTTAAAGGCATACCAGTTCATGGCAATTTCAAATATATTTGTATCAGAAATAGATAAGATTTAAAGAATGATTAAGATAGTTATTAAATTTTGAACTTTATTAACTGTAAAAGAAACATGAATTTCAATATCATACAGGTTCATAATAGTGAGGGGTGACACAACTGTTGCTAATTGTTGATATGACATTAAATATACCAAATGGCTTTGAGTAAATAATATCTAGAAAAGTTTAATAAGTGCTTATAAGTGAAGTCTAGAGAAGAAAACTGATGATAAAAAGTTCCTTTAAAAGATGAGTAGTAGTATAAGCCCAAATCATTTACAGTTTAATGGGATATTTAATGCCTCAGTACTACTGTTGCCTTCTCTCCATAAGTAAAGGGGATCAGGGGCAATCTTTTTTAAGTTTTCAGTGTGAATTTTTTAATCAAAAGGGGATTTGTAAGATCACTTAAAAAGCCAAAAAGAAAACTTGAATGTGAATGTCATCATAAAAATCAGATGCATCTTTAGAATATTCCTATATTTGACTGCTTTAATAAAAACTTGTCTTAAAGAAAATAATAAATTTTAATACTTGGAACTATAATAATAGAGAAGAAGAAAAGTGATGATTAATGTGTTTTTTATTGTTTTTTATGTAAAAAGTGTTTTGACCTAATTGCTTTTAGGAGTATATGTCATGTCTGGTGTACATGCCACAGTGTATATACTGTGTGGGGTCATGTCCCATGGGTCATGTGCATATGTGAAATGTCTTCCAGGTGTTTTTCATTTTATCAAAGTGTAAACTAAATACTTCCAAGAAAGCAAAACCAGGGCCAATCTTAGGTGGTTCTTTTGATGTTGGTATCTAAAACAGAGATGCTACATTTTGATCAACAAAATGAAAAGTAGTACAAAAGAAACTGATTTGGCTGGAATATTGATATGAGAAAGTGAGTAAATAAGTACTAGTACCTATGGTATGGGCATTCAGTTAATGTATTTTATTGAAAAATTGTATTGTCAAATACAAACAGGATAAAACATCAGTATTTTATAATAACTCTACTCCTTTCACACCTTTACTACTGTAGACCAGAAATTGTGTTTTAGGAAAAACAGACACTGCAGTTTTAAAAACATGTCATCAAGTGATGTTTTTTAGGTTGATGCAAGTTTTAAACAGTCTTTGTCTGAACACTGCTTTACATGTGGTCCACTTTCTTGCTGTCAATTAAGGAATGTACATCACTTAACTGTGGTTGATGCCCTTATCTATATTTAGAAAGATTTGCAATGCAGACCCTCTAACATTCTCCTGTTTAGAGAAACAGGAAATGTTTACCAATTTTTGTACAAGCCAGTATCCCACTTACCGATACCTACATTTTACTATAGCATATACTTTCATTTTGTTTGAAGTGTAGCGTAAATTTATATTATTCACTGCAATAAAATGTAAGCTCAATTCTAAATCCACAATTATGTACATTTAATTCATGTTAGGTATTGTTTTGCTAAAGGGGTCTAGAGGGGAAAGGAATAAAGTTACAGAAGTAGTGCAGCATGACTTAGTTTCTATTTAAAGCAATCTGATAACTTCTTATTACATGTACCTGTAAGACGCTGCACTTTAACTCTCTCTGCATGTACGCACACGCACACGCACACACTCACACACACACTGTATAGAGAAAGAGAGAATAAAACTGATCACACTGTATTGGCATTTTGGAGAAAAAAATTTTTTACGGGTTTTTTTCTAGTACCAAGGTAGCTATCAAAAATTATCTTAATGTTGATACAAAGCTGGAGGGGGGGGGGGGTTATAATCATTCCATATTACAATGGATTGTTCACTTCAAAAAGGAATAACTTACTTAGTACAAACAATATTTTGGTCAATCCAAGATAGATTATTGTAGGCAACATTCCTAATGAGCAGGATAATTTTCTTAGCAGAGATTGGATAGATAAGGATATATCCTTGAAACCAATTAACATCTTGTTAATCAAAGAAGGTGAAAGATGACCTAAAATCCTCAGGCAGTTAGGGCGCATTCCCATAGATTTTAGATCACTCTATCCCAGTGGGGAGTCTCACTAGATTACTGTCAGATAATCTGGCTTAGATGTCCGTCCTGCCTACAACAAGCTGTAAGGGGGTAATTAACTGTCATGCCCACTCAGCTGACAGCTATTTAGCGTGAACCCCTAGGGAATTAGGTCGATCTAGTTGGATCGATCTAATCTCTGGGAATGGGGTCTTAAAGAGTAAGTTTGGTCCAACAAAAACTTATGCCCATAGGATAGTTCACACTTTATTTAGCCAAGCCTTTGTTATAAAAATATGTGATAACGTTTTAACAACAAGATAAATTTATACATTTTAGCGCGGGTCAAGAGCGACGCTTACATACAAAAGTTTTCTTTTTTTAATCTGGAATAATTCAAAGTACTGCTTACATGATATAACAGCGACTGTGGTAGCAATTTTTTTCTCTTTTTCTCCAAATGGTTTAAATTTGACTAAAACAAGTCAAATCAACCAGTTTTTGTTTAGCCAACTTAAGTCAGTTTTAGCATTTGGCTAAATTGGTGAGTGTTAGTGCTAACCCAGAGTGAGGAAAATGGACTGTAGAGGGAAGGTAAGGGCCACAACAAAGTGGCAACACAACAACACATAAAACTCACATCACAACACACACAAAACTCAAAACACAAAATCCTGTGTAAGAACCAAGTTTCCTTTCAGAAGTATATATATATTTACTTACTCAGTAAATGTCACTTCTACTTTTTATTTTGCAGTCCTATTTTGTAACAGATTATGATCCAACAATAGAAGATTCTTATACTAAACAGTGCATGATTGATGATGTGGTTGCAAGGTTGGATAGTAAGTATTCCTGTTTTCATCATTTTTCCCATAGATATTATGAGTAAAATCCCCCCCCCCCCCCTTAGTCTAATGTATATCCTCTGCAGAAGTAGTAAACTGTGTAAAGAGGAAGTGATTATGTAATTGTATATCAAAGTACCATGGAAATGGCATGTTTACATGACATATGTCGTGACAGTATTACTTTTGATAGATATTATGGACAGTACAGTCTGACAGCAGCAACAATTTGTAGTGCTTGCAGTGGTGTTATTGGGATTATGTTGAAATGAATGGGTTATCTGTGGCATGTATGTTTCAAAGGAAATCCCAGATTTGTTTTAAAATTGGCAGAATACATAGAATCTGTTCCTGTGAAGCATTATGTTGAATGTCAACTCATTAATCTGGGCTAATACAGCAGGGAAACATTTACCAGAAGTCAGCAAATATCCTTATTTATGTTATCAATAGCCAGATTCCTGATGTTTGTCATTAAAAAAAATTGAAAAAAGCAATAAAAGAAAAAGAAAGAAAGAAAGATAGTTGAACCTTTCGGTGTTGGCGTGAAATACTGTTTGTAGAAATCTGCATTTATAATATTATATAACTTAAAGCTGCCTTAATGTAGCTTCACTCATCATTTCTGCTCTGCCTAGACGTGACTGAATAGGTGTAAAGTGAGTGCTAACTAGTACCATACTGTCAGTGTCTTAGCACTGAATGATAATAGACAGATTAAGAATACTTAAAATATGAGTTTTTCTTCTAATTTATGTGTTAAATATTATTCAAAACAGGTGCTTTATCTTGCCTAAAAATAGCACATGTTCACCAACTGTGCCTATGAAATTAAGTTTTGTATTAGGATCCTAGTTTGCAGTGCTACTTTATTTATTTATTTATTTATTTATTTATTTATTTATTTATTTATTTATTTATTTATAATATATGAAACTTTTTTGATTCATGATTTTTTAGAGTTATCCAATTCATGGACTTCACCATGACTGCCTTCACTCCAACAATCTGTGGTTCATCCTACAAATGCCAACCATATCATTGTTTTATTTTAAATGAATGGATTTATTAGGTAAAAATTGCAGGTTCCTAATGAAAATTACAAAGATCAGATATTTTTGTATGTATTTTGGCTATACTTGTCTAATAAGTGCCAAACTGTATTTTTCTTCTACTTCAAGTTAGCTGTGTGGCTTTGTTTAGTAAAAATACAGGTTCTGTAGCATGTTTGTTAATTTTCACTAAGTGACTGGCACATTTTTTTGTGTTTTGCAATCCTGTTTTCCTAAGTTTACTTTAATTCATTATATTGTACTATGTAAGTGGTTATCAAAAATTTAAATTATATCTTATTTTTTCCAATCTTATGATATATTTCAATATTGTGTCTGCCACATTTTTTTTAATTTTCAATTAAAATGCTGAACCTGTACACAGTATAGATTGAGAACATGTGCAAACAGCTAGTATAGTGGGAAAGAGGCAGTTGTGTTTTGGAATTCAGGGATAAGCTATTCATGAAGTCAGTCACTGTAAACTTTTAGAAGCTATTTTATTTATTTATTTATTTATTTATTTATTTATTTATTTATTTATTTATTTATTATCTGTAAGGTGTCTGTATATTGAAAGATTTGCTGTCTAGTTTGTAATAGAAACCATACCCAATGTATTTGAAATATTTTTTTGTTGAAGTTCTGTGGATTTCATTGGACTAAACTAACCTTAGGAAGGCAGATTTTCAATTCTGCGCTTGTATGAAGGGCTGCAATCAAAGCCTCAATCTCATCTCAGCACTGAACTCAAATTTTGCTGCATTGATTAAACCTGAGTGATGTCCAAAAAGATTTAAATTTTACTTGAGGCTGTAAAAGGGTTGTTTTTTTTTTTATGTATAAATCTTACCAGAAATTGGGGAACTATTTTGAAGAAATTTCTTATTTGAAAAATATCTGTTTGATTTGAGTAGATAAGTATCAATAGCTTGGGCTCTCATTATCTTAAAAAACAATGCAACATATTTGAGACAGCAAGATATACAGTAATTCAATATGATAACATGACTATAATAATGTTTTTTTAAAGCAGTTCGTTTAGAATTTTCCTCTAGAGAATCTTGCATGCATTTAGTGTAATAACCGAGGAAGTCGTCCATCAAAGCTGTAGTAAAAAAACTCCCATCAATGAAAGGTATTCCCCTTAGACTATGAAATATCTGGAATTGCAATTTCTCTGAAGTAAATAAGTCAGTTTTATGAAGAGTCATCAAAGTGAATGGTATTTTTATTGTTCTAAGGTTTCAAGTATTCTTTTATTTTGGGAAAATTAATTTAAGATACATGTATAAAATTGCAGTTAAGTTTATATTGATATGCAATATATCACTATCATAAACCTTCGAACATTTATTATAAGATGTAATTAACAAATTGAATTATATTTGTCAAATTGAAATCTGTAAGCATTCATTTTCAAATTACTAGAATTATAGCCAGCATTACCAATAATGATGTATTAGACTATATTACAAACCCCCACACCTATAACCAAGGGTAATGTGTTTGAGTTTGAAATTTCAGTCTTGGATACAGCAGGCCAGGAAGAATTCAGTGCAATGAGGGAACAATACATGAGATCTGGAGAAGGATTTCTATTAATTTATTCAGTCACAGATAAGTCAAGGTGAGCAAATTGTAGAAATTTTGTATTTTTTTAATTATTCCAATTATTCCTAGTCATTGATTTGTCTTCACTAAAGATGTGTAAATTTTGTGGCTATATTTTCACAAAATACACCACTGCCATGTTTTTATATTGCCTGTTTACAGTCTTCTTAGAATTTTAATTTGACATTGACAATTTTTTTTTCAAAACTTAATATGGATGATTTCTTTTTGTTGCAGTTTTGATGAAATTTATAAATTCCACAGACAGATTCTAAGGGTGAAGGACCGGGATGAGTTTCCAATGATACTGGTGGGCAACAAGGCAGATTTGGAGCATCAAAGAATGGTGAGATTAATGTACATGGTGATAGCTTCTGTTGGGCATGTATATACTGATTTTTTTTTTTTTTTTTTTTTTTTTTTACATATAACAACCTGTATAATGGAACACATTGAGTTAAATGTTAGTTTTGGTTCATTGCCTTGTACATATGATAACATGTGTTCTCATATCACTCTACTTAATGTCTAATATGTAAAACCTTTGATTACATTAGCTGTTTGTTGATCGACTTAGTCGGCTGATATATTTATGGGTTATTTTGTCTAAATTAGCACCTGCATTTTATGTAGTTATGGCAAAGGGAAGATAAATATGCTGTGTTTTCAAACAAGGCTATTACCAGACCTTAAGTGGGATGATAGACCCCTGGGAAGACCTCATTATGTTTGTAAATATAGTCGGTTTTCATGACAATTGTTAACATGTAGTGGTAAATTTGGACAAAGTACATATTGTTTTTTATTTTATTTAATGAAACAGTAGGCCATTTACTACTCTAAGACGATTCAATTTCCCTTTGTAAGTATCTAGGGCTGCAGGTTCTTCTTTTTACATATAGACACAGATGGGTCTGTACATATAGCCGTTACACGCATCTGTCATTACCGTTGTGATGCACTTTTAGAGATAACACAATAAGTGGAAAAATGATTTAAATTTTGTCTTCAAACTTACAGAACTGATATTTCATCAAATACAGGTCCATTTTGAAGAACTTTTTGATCAAACCAGATTTTCAAAAGTCATGCTTTTTTTCCCAGCATATATGAATTATTGTCCTGAAATTTACTGGAGTGATTAACATTACTAAAATACAGGTTGAGTTTGCTAACCAGCCTGATGAAATTATTCTTGAAGTTACCCCCCCCCCCCCCCGCCCCTTTTTTTATGTTCTGTGCTGTATTTTAGTTCTATGTTTCTTTTCTGTATGTTTGAGAATCATAAGTGACACTGTTTTCTTTCAATGGTCATTATGGGGACAGAGCGCAAAATAGGATTTTCTTCAGTTTTGATGCAATAATACATTGCAGAAAAGAAACATAGGTCTTAAGTATAGCTTGAGTTGGAAAACCAGCCTGCTTGGAACTTTTTTTCTGGAAGTTATGCAGTTTCTTGTGGAATTTATGTTAATTTTTCACATATTTGCATTTTCAAGGTGTGGCATTTAACTTCCAAGGGCCTGAAGACATCTTGTGAATGTCTATGATATATCCCAATATTTTATTATATAATTAAACATTGGTATTAGTTATGTGTTAAGCATTTTGTAATATTGCATAAAAAAAAACTGTGTTGGGCAATTCCATAATATTGAACATTATAGGAAAACCATGTTTCTTATGATTCTCAAACTTAAAAAAAGATTTATAGGACTTAAGTAAAGCTTGAATTGGAAAACCAGCCTGATCGGATTATTTTTCTGGAAGTATTGCAGTTTTTGTGAAATGCTCATTTTTCACATATTGGCATTTTCAATGTTGGACTTAAAACTCACATTGGAATGAAGCCTTATGGTAGTTACATTTTCTGAATATCCAAGTCACGTAAAGAAGATGAATAAAAATTGGTGGCGATTATGCAGTCAATCATTACATAATATTCCATTAAGATTGACAAAAACCTATTTTGTGCACTGCCACCACTAACATTCTGAAAGTAAAATTGTTTTACTAATTATTTTACAACTAACAAGAATGAATTTTAGGATTGACATACAGTTCAAATTGGAAAATGACAAAATGAGCTATTTTGTGCATCGTTATTTTCTGCTTTTTGTCTGTACATTTGAAAGCTTTGCTGCCTTTTTTATTTCTTTGCCTGCTTAACCATTTTTTATTGATATATTTAAAATGTTGTTTAAAAGGTCATGGGCAAATCACTTTAACTATATTAGTAAATAGAAAACATTACAGGCGGACAGCAGCATTCCCTTTTTTACCATTTTTTGTGGTTTTCCAGGTTTCAACAGAGGATGGCTATGAACTTGCCAGACAGTTAAAAATCAGTTATATTGAAGCAAGTGCCAAAATCAGAATGAATGTTGATGAATCGTTTTATGAACTAGTCCGTATAGTAAGGTAGGCTAACTTATATTTTGCATACCCAGCAAAAACTGGTGATTTGTGAATAGTCATCTCCCCTGTAGCCCTTAAACCCCCTTATATTATAGAAGATTAATCCTATTCACATATATTTGGCTTGTTAGTGGTCTTTAATCTGGAAAAATCACCCATCCACACATAACATTAAGATGGCATTGGATTTTACTGGGATATTGATTGAAGCAAGCAGTATTGTTTCACCTACACATGGTACCAACTTATGTCTGAATGCATTTAGCATTACATCAGTTATATCTCTGTTACCAGTTCTGAATGTTACTGATTGGTTACACCATTTCTAAACATTTGACGTGGGTGGGAAATATAAAATCACTGCTTGTGTACGGCAACCATAATGGTGGAATAATTGCTGCCACTTTGCTTGATTCTTTTTAATTGGTATATTTAGTTATAAATTCAACACAATATTTCATTATACAGAAAATTTTGTATGTTTAGGTCTTATTACTCTTGAAGAATTTGTGAGTGCTTCCCTGATATAATTGCATTTACACACCTGTATTTTGAAATATCTGTTTCATGAACTATATTGTGGTTTCCAGGCCATGACCAAACTGTTATTCAAGTGGCTAGATCTAAATTTATATGAAAACTACAACTGGAATGTTGTTTCCGTGTTAAAGATATAGTTCAGCATATTTGAGTTTTAATTGAAAGACAGTTAAATTATATGTAGTATTAAAGCTTGTTTATATATTATATTTCTGATGTGTTTGTCTGCTTTCAGAAAATTTCAAGCAGAAGAAAGACCACCAGTCAAACCACCAAGGCGAAAAAAGGGACCAAGATGCAACTTATTATGAATCTTTTTCTACTGTCTATGCATTTTTAAAGAACAGACATATCTGACAGATATTTTCACAACACGTGTCAAGTAGGGTTATGTGTACTACAGCAGAGTTAGAGAGAAAATCAGACCACGACTTTCCTTCAGTGATTTTCAAAATTTTTGGAATGTAAAGCATGTATATCAAAGAAACTGACACCTCTATGTGTTAGATTTTGTACGAAAAATTGAACCTCACAATGGGCTTTTGTATTACAATTTGTATTGGTATTATTTCATTACACATAGTGTTATAGGTGTTAAAATGCAATTGGCATGATACGGGAAAACTTTTGCTCCTTGATCTTGGTCAACAATTTTTTCCATTTCAAAATATTAAAAATTTCCTCCCTTCTTTGGCAGAGGTTACATAGGAGAATGACAGGAAAATGTCACATTAAATGATGAGGGTTCACATTATTCTGCACAGTTGAATCTGTTGTGACTATGTAAATTGGGTAATAGGGCAGATATGTAAGGAATACTGTTCTACATATGCTGGGTAACATCTTAATAGTGCACTGTAGTCCCTGGCTTGTTAGTAACAGATAATACTATCAGATTTGTTCAGGAAAATTTATATTGTTTATTCACAATGTAAGTAGGCCTTATATGAATAGTTAATTATTTGATATTTTGGAGTATCTCCAAATTTTTTTTTTTTTTACTTTTGTTGTATTGCATTTTAATTGTACCACCAGCGTTAGCGCTGGCGGTACACATGGTTTCGGTCCCGTCCGGATCGTTCCGCCGGCTCCGCCGGCTCCGCCGGACGGCTACCGTTACCGCTTCTCCTCCTAGANTCTCTCTCTCTCCCTTCCTGCTTTCTTGAAAAACTTAATGTACCTTACGTTATCACCCCTGTGCTATTGGTGTTTCAAAAGGTTTTGACTTGAAGTAGCTTGATGTGCAATCTGTCCTTGCAAAAATGAAGGAAAAAGTATTATTTATCATAAGTGTCAAAATACTGTTTTCACAAGCCTAAGTGATTGTTTAAAGAACTTTTTGATGGGAATTGTGGTTCGAGTTCCTCAGACAGTAGAGGGCACTGTTCCTGTCATCTCTCCCATAAGTGCCAAAAATTTTTTGTCACATAGGTTTCAAGTAATGTGACCAAATTGTAAGGCTGGGTTATCTTAACAATTATACATTCACACATGCACGCACGCACGCACGCACACACACACCTATGATAAATTACATTTTGAAGAGAAATTACTTATTGATTTGCCATAGATATTAAAAAAGTTATTTATGTACTAGGAAGTAAGTTATCCTCCTTGTAGTTCTTTGTAACTATTTGAAATATTTAGTTACAGATTGTACATATTTGCAGAAACCCAGGTGATTATAGTATTATTTATAAGAAACTTCGGCTTACATAAGCTGAAGCATAGCAAGGCTTCTCACACATTAGAACATGGTTCTAACTGGTGTTAAAATTGAAAAAATGTTCATCTTACTGGTTATTGTAATGACTAACAGGTAGTGCCAATTTTACATGACAAAAAACTTAACCCATCTTCAACATTCATAGTACAAGGTGACCCCCCTAAAAAAAAAAAAAAAAAAAAAAAAAAAAAACATATCAGCAGGAAGTGTGACGTTGAGTGGCACTGCATTCACAGGTCTTGAACCTTCCGGATTTTTATCCATGGGGGTATCTCAAGGATAATGTGTACCAGAACAACCCTCAAATGATTGAACTGAAAGCAACTATGGTAGCAAAAATCAGAAAAATTCCCCAGAGATGAACGTGTTAGAGTAATTAACAGTTTGTTGGACATATGCAAGTGTGTCTCCAATGCTGCAGGGGCCATTTGGCTCATATTTTGGAAAGAACAACTTTTATGTGCCCTCTACAAGGGTCGCAGATTAAATATGTGCACTTTTCTCTAATGGGAGCAGAAAAATGTCATCGGTTGACCAGAGACATCTGTGAATATCTGGAGAAAAATCTGTGTCCCTAGTAGAGGGTAACTTTTATCTTTTATGCAAACCTACCAAGATAACCCAAACCATGGAGAATGATCATACACATTTCAGTTTAAAATTTTTTTTTCTTTTTTTTTTTTTTTTTT